TATAATTTAATTAAAATAAATCGCTTATTTATTTTAGTATTTGTTAAGATTAGAAACTTTCTCGTAATTTTTGTTTCACTTTCATTTTTTTTCAACGAGTTTTTTAGTAGTATATTGTAGCTGGCAATGGCATATGTAAGATCTCACAAAAGGTAAATATGTAGCAACCCTCCAAGTTGCCTAAGGGATAGAATCCTCTGAAGCTAGCGTGAATTAGTAACTTATAATTTATAATTTTTACTTCTCGATGATAATACCAATCGAGTGGAGTTCAATAGCCGATTGATGACTATTTTTTGGGTAACTTATGTCGATGGAGTTGTAAACTATTTAGCTCATACCTATGCACAAGTTGAATCACATATCGAAATGACTAATAGGTCACACCCTTAGCTAGCAAATTCTTTTTTCTACTATCTCTTGTTTAGCTTCTCTTTTAAAAAATGAATGTAATGTTTTGATTTTTAGAAAATGTAAACATATTGCCTAAAGTTTTGCATTCTTTTACATGGTGTAAAATGTTAATCATGACATATATAGTACAATCTTTCCATTTCATGGCATCTTTTGAAATTCCTAAGGTGCAAAAAGGAAGAGGAATAATGAGTTTTTTAGACCTAAGTAAATGAGTCAAGAGAAGTAAAATTGATTGTTCATCCATCAAACACATACCTACAACAACATATCCAGTAAAATCTCATATATGCAATCTAGGAAAGATAGGATATACGTAGATCTTATCCTTACCTTTGTGGATAGAGAAGTTGTTTCTGATATACCCTCAGCTAAAAAAAAGTGCAATCAAAGGACAAAAAGTAAAATAATGACAAAAAAATGAAGAATAAGATACTATCGAGGCAAGACTACTACATAAAGAGAAGATGAGAAGAGGAGACTAGCGCCCTGCTTCTCCCAAGTAAAAGTACTACAATCTAACACACACACACACATATATATACCTGTTGAACATAAATATCTTGGCAACTGAAGAACATACTTATACATTATCAAATCTTGGCAACTCAAACATACATATACAAATACAAATACCATATCTTGGGATTTGACATTTTGAAACTCGACTAACGAGTGAGTATTATTCAACCAGGCTGAAACATAGATGAGTGTAAAAAGAAGACAAGTACATAATCAGACTTTATTGGCGAAAAAAGAGCAACAGTTTGAAACAGAACTGCTTATAGTAACTATGCTTATTCCTTTCGCATCAACCTTGACACCATATGCTCAGTTTTCTGCCAAAAAAAGAGAAGGCATTAGCAAATTGGTATCACTCACTGTGCTATAGAACAAAGCTATGGAATTCAAGCAAAAGAGTCGATATGACTGTTTTAAGCAGTGACTTGTGCATACAAAATCTGTTCATATGATCCCAAAGCCATACATTGTAAATCCCACCGTTAAAGATAACAGAAAACGGTTTATTTCTGGTTCTGTTGGGATATATATCCCAGCAGATGCACAGAAACCACCATCTAGCCCACATACAAACCAAGGACATGTGTCCTAGCTCAAGAACTCGGAAGTTCAGATCTTGTCTTATTTTCCTGATCAGTTCAACTTTAGTTAAAAATCACAATTCACAGACATGGTTATAGACGTATTAATAATTGATTCTATAAGCACACATGCATTAACACATCTTAATTATCACATTTATAAGGCCACGGTTGCTTAAACAGATTATCCCTTCAGTCTTGCAATATTTTACACCACACACCTTGCTTTTGTATGAAAGTTGAGTTCAACCACGAAGATTTTAACTGTTATTTTGCAAGATAAGTTGATAGGAAATTTATTTTGGCTTTGTAACATTTCATTGATGATATCTGATTTATGTAAACATATTACACCACATTTTCGACTTGAATATATGATATCGTGTGAGTACCATCTTGCAGCTTACAATATGAACCGGTTCAAACTGTAGAAAAGCTCAGATAGGATAAGAAATGCTAAAACTAGGAGAAAAGAATGTGAAAGGAAGCTTTTTATTTTACTGATTGCTGGAGCAACGAGCTCTCTGATTACTTAACTAAAATACAAATACAGGACACTCAGAGTTGAAATCATGCATCGGTTTGCTTGGCTCACACAGAATATGCACGAGGGTACGGAAACCTTTAATATCAGACCTTACAAATCAAAAATCAGAAACCTCTACTTTGTTGCACCTAGCGGGTGGGGAGTGCGTGTGGAGAAGGAAGGGCGATTGTGACAAAGACCTAGTGGTCAGTCATCTTTATGGACAATAATTTGGAGAACAAACTTTACAATTATGAAATGTAAAAAAGGAAACTAACCTGCTCAGTGTGTGGCAGATACTTTCCATCAAAAGTCAAGACAACACGATCCTTTCCATCCACACCTTTGATTTTATCAACTGAGCAGAAAAAGTCTATAGCTGACATGCTAAACATTGAGTCGAAAGTTAAAATCTGACATATCATCTCAGTACAAGTATATCATGTGCAGGAAGCCAAGTGAAAAACAACTAACAGAAACATAAACTTGCATGAAACACTCACATATAAACTTGCATGGCTCATAATATCCTCTGCTCTTTTTTTTTTATAAAAGAAATATGTGAAGACTCCTCGGCTCTTTTTTTTAGTTTTTATAGATCCGAAGGTGGTGGTGCCAGCCAATTATAATCTGTATAGTGTACACAACATGTGTGCAGCCGCGACAAAATAGTTCATGCTAGTTGTATAAACAATCTAATATGCAGAGAGGTTGTGTGATTCACCAGAACAAGAGAAAGTCACTATATAGAATCACAGGATTATAATAGGATAATGAATGAGACTACACTAAGTCACTAAGTGCATCGGGTTGATGATTAACAAAGACATAGTGGACGACCCGGAAAAAAACTTTACACTTGACTATCACTTACCTGTGAAATTGTAGTTAGAATTTTCTTTTCCCACTATTTATCCATTAAAAAAATCGGGAAGAGGGTAATCGGGATGAGATGGGATTAGAGAGCTTGGGTTTGCGAACGAGAAAGCATAGACAGATGAGTGAGTGCTAGAAGGCAGGTAATATGGCTTAATCCTAAGGAATACCAATATCATTCCTAATCCCTTAGCAAAAAGCACTAAACAAACAACAGATAGTGAAGAAGGGATTATAACCCCCCTGTTATCTATAGATCATTTATACAGTGATCAAACAACACTATAGCATAGCGGCTTGTTGACTCTAAACACACTGTGCATGCTCTAGTTCATCTTCAAAAGACTTCTTACGAATCATGCTTGCAACAAACCAGAGATAAGCTTATGCAAGTCAGAGTAGTTAACCATCAGAGGCAAATCACTAAGGTTCACAAGATCCGGAACTCTTGAAGTTTAAAGGCAGAGAGCATTTCCAGAGTATGAACCTAAAGTTCTAAACACAAGCAGAGATCCACATACAAGAAAAGATTATATCTATCACCACAATATTTTTTGAATCAATAAAATAAGGACAAGTATTTAATATGTATGCTAAATGGAGTGACTTACATGCCATCACCAAATTCTTCGTTAACAATTTCCTTGATACTCTCACCAAAGTGCATGACAGCCTCATTCAATCTGTTGAAAGAACACAATAATCAAATTAAGTATGAAATGCAACACAAAGCTTTCTGAAAAGCTTTGCCCAATAGATCTGGCTTACAGCTTCACAACTTAAGCACTACTATATGCTATTACCTAAATAATGTAAGGATTTCACAGGAACAGTAAAATGGTAAGCTAGAAGCTCTTCCACATTATGTTCCTTCTGTGTTTTCTTGTGCCCTGGTATCTACACTAACAACACTTTATGTGATTCTGGTGAAGGCAGATTAAGGTTTAAAGACTGGGGTCTTGAATCAACTCCTATTCCACTTAACATACAAATACAAGGGTCTTGAATCAACTCCTATTCCACTATCCACATCTTTCTCTAGCTCTACCAACTACCAAACACCATAAAGATCAAATCTTTACATAATAAATAAATATATAAACCAAAAAATAGGTGAAGTGGTCACCTATAAAATAGTAGGTCTTGAATCAACTTAACAAATATCTCCAATTCTTCCTATTCCACAATCCACATCTTATTGACGAGTCACACATTGGATAATAAAGAATGAGTGTTCTCCTTATATGAACTTGGACAATACTTACCTTACCAGCTAGCTTTTGGGATTGAATTAGACCCAAGATTCATTTATCTACATGGTATCAAAGCACGACTCATACCAATTATTGTTCACTAGATGTCTAGCCTGAGCGTAAGGTGGGATGTTGAAGAGTACCGCATCCAATAAAAAAAGATGGATAGTCTCCTCTCATAAGTTAGCTTTTGGAGTTGAGTTAGACCTAAGATTCATTTTTCTTTACACATCTTTCTCTAGCCCTATCAACTACCATACACCATAAAGATCAAATCTTTACATCAAAAAATCAAAAATCAAGAAATGGGTAAAGTGGGTCACCTGTAAACAGTCGGGTCTTGAATCAAGTTCGGGTCATAAGACCTCAAAGGTGCCACCATCATTTCATGAATTTGTTGATCAGATAGAAGAGGAAGTGCAGCCTTCAGCTTTGGTGCAGTTTCAGGTTTAAGCTGAGCTTGACGTCTCAAAAGCTGAGCAACATAGACATTTGTGAGACCAGTTTCTTCAGCTATTTGACTAAATGTCTTGCCAGATTTTTGTTTCACTGACATAAGAGATGCCACCATGTTTGCTTTGTTCTCCATTTCTTTGCTTTTGCTTACTGCAAAAAAGTAGAAGATTGATCGTGGATATATGGGATGATTGTATTTTTGCTTTTCTAGGGACCCAATTATCCACTTGACAAGTCCAATTTGGTTAGAAATTTTGAATGGAAGAAGCACTGCTAATTTTGAGTTTTGCCTCTGACTGCTAATTGGATATTTAGTAGATATTAAAAATTTATAAATAAAATAAATAAAATAATTTAGTCATTTCAACTTTTGAGCGGGTCAGTAATTTAATCTACTTTGATGAAGCCAAATTCAGCTAATTTGACACCTTTTAGTCATGATTTATTAACGTGAAATCGTAAATTCTTACTTTCGATTCATTATTTAATCATAATAAACTGACATATTTTGATATGTGCATTGAAGAAAATCAGACAAGCCTATCAATAGGTGTGTATAAAGTCTCTATTTCTTGCATTTTTTACTACACATTTTGTTGAACTAGTCATGGACACATGCGTTGCACGTGTATTCCTAACAATTAATAAATACTACTAAAATATTAGTGTGAGATTGAAAATTAAATTAAAAGAGGAAAAAACTCAAATTGATAATTGGTGTTCATATATGTCAAAATAATATCGTAGTTGAACTTGAGATGAATGAGTAGAACAATTATATTTTAAAACTAATTATTAAAGTTAAAAAACTTGACTCAGACTCTTTCTAAGAATCTCTCCGGCACAACAACGTACAAATAAAAATCTTAACTAATGTATATTAACATTATATTAGATATTAATTTAACGTAAATAGAGTAAGTATTTGACTCAAGACTTTAGATGATACATATGTACCGTGATATTAAATTTGTTATAGTCTCATTCAAATTAACATAAATTCTTATTATCTATAGCTATCCATGTGCCTTTTGGCATAGCTAGTGTAGCATGAAAAAACAAACTTTACATCATCTAATAACAACATAATAGCATTCTTATACACAAACTTATAAAGATGAGGCTTTAATTTGGGTTCCAGCCCCAAACACTTAGAATCATAAAACCCCTCAACATACAATAGATTCAACTCAAAATCACAACCGGAAACATGTCCCAAATCAACAAGAAACTTCAACACAACCACAAGATTTCAACAACCACAACCAATCTTGTCTTTGAAATTAAAACGAGTTTGGTGGGTGGGGGAATGAACTAACCCAACACTATGATCTCATATACCTTAATAGGGATCACCCCCGACGAAAACCACGACGGTCTTGACGAGCTTCGCTAAATCTCCTCTTTCTCCTCTTCTTTCTCTCTTATCTCCCAAGCCCTAACTCTCACTTTTAAAAGGGAAAACTGATGTAAAATCAGTTTAGACCCTTGATCTACAACCAAAAGAAAAGGTGGGGGAAAAGACCAAACTACCCTTAAAATTTCGGATGAACTTCCCTTACCAACAGCCCAACTTCGAAAGGGCATAACTCACTCATACGAACTCGGAATCGAGAAAACTCGGTGGCGTTGGAAAGATCCTTCCAAGAGATTTCCAAACATAACTGGAAATACACCTAATTCATCCTGAGCTAGGAGTTATGACTGTTCAAAGTTGACAAAAAAAACTCACTTTTTCCCATACTTGACCAAATTTCCAGATTTTTAAATTCTTTCCAAAAATGACTATTTCCAATTATAAGCCTCTTCATAGTTATTTCAAATTGCCGGATGTTACAGTATTAGTGGCCGAAGTAAAAGAATAACACTAAAGAAACTTTTTCTTTTTTTGTCTTGAAAATGAAGGGGATCATTTAAACTCTATTTGATAGAGTAAAAACACCTCTTAAAGTGAATAAATCACTTTTTATATGGAATTTATTTCTTGAATTTGTACTTGCCCAAATTAAAGCCTCATCTTTATAAGTTTGTGTATAAGAATGCTATTATGTTGTTATTAGATGAGGGAAAATGCATAAGTACCCCCCAGCCTATGCCCGAAATCCCAGAGACACACCTAACCTTTACTAAGGTCCTATTACCCCCCCAAACTTATTTTTTAATTAATTTTCTACCCCTTTTGGTCCTATGTGGCACTATTCTTGTGGGCCCAGCACGTGTTGACAAATTTTTCAAAATAGTGCCACGTAGGACCAAAAGGGGTAGAAAATTAATTAAAAAATAAGTTTGGGGGGGTAATAGGACCTTAGTAAAGGTTAGGTGTGTCTCTGGGATTTCGGGCATAGGCTGGGGGGTACTTATGCATTTTCCCTCATCTAATAACAACATAATAGCATTCTTATACACAAACTTATAAAGATGAGGCTTTAATTTGGGCAAGTACAAATTCAAGAAATAAATTCCATATAAAAAGTGATTTATTCACTTTAAGAGGTGTTTTTACTCTATCAAATAGAGTTTAAATGATCCCCTTCATTTTCAAGACAAAAAAGAAAAAGTTTCTTTAGTGTTATTCTTTTACTTCGGCCACTAATACTGTAACATCCGGCAATTTGAAATAACTATGAAGAGGCTTATAATTGGAAATAGTCATTTTTGGAAAGAATTTAAAAATCTGGAAATTTGGTCAAGTATGGGAAAAAGTGAGTTTTTTTGTCAACTTTGAACAGTCATAACTCCTAGCTCAGGATGAATTAGGTGTATTTCCAGTTATGTTTGGAAATCTCTTGGAAGGATCTTTCCAACGCCACCGAGTTTTCTCGATTCCGAGTTCGTATGAGTGAGTTATGCCCTTTCGAAGTTGGGCTGTTGGTAAGGGAAGTTCATCCGAAATTTTAAGGGTAGTTTGGTCTTTTCCCCCACCTTTTCTTTTGGTTGTAGATCAAGGGTCTAAACTGATTTTACATCAGTTTTCCCTTTTAAAAGTGAGAGTTAGGGCTTGGGAGATAAGAGAGAAAGAAGAGGAGAAAGAGGAGATTTAGCGAAGCTCGTCAAGACCGTCGTGGTTTTCGTCGGGGGTGATCCCTATTAAGGTATATGAGATCATAGTGTTGGGTTAGTTCATTCCCCCACCCACCAAACTCGTTTTAATTTCAAAGACAAGATTGGTTGTGGTTGTTGAAATCTTGTGGTTGTGTTGAAGTTTCTTGTTGATTTTGGGACATGTTTCCGGTTGTGATTTTGAGTTGAATCTATTGTATGTTGAGGGGTTTTATGATTCTAAGTGTTTGGGGCTGGAACCTTTGAAGTTAAGGTGGTTTAGAGTTGGAAAAAATGAAGGAGAAAAGTCGAGTTTTTTGGGGACAGGGGTGGGGCGTCGCGCCTACCAGCATACCCCAAAAGGGGTTCTGAAGTTTCCCCCTTGGGGCGACGCTCCAGCTAGCGCGCCCCAGCCGGCCCTCTGAAGTTTGAGGGCTGGCGCCCTGCGCCTCTCAGAGCACCAGGGACGCCAGTTCTCCCCATTCATTCCCCACTTTTTCATGCATGTTCCTTGGTAATGTACCTATGTTTTATAGTCGTTTTCAACACTCTAAGGTACATCTAAACATCAAGAACTCATCCATAAACATGAGATCATTACCCTTGAATTCATAATCCAATTCGAGGAAGGTTCGGATCAAAGTCAATTAAAGTAGAGTCAAGTTTAAAAGTTAAGAAGCAAGTCCAAGCAAGTCTTTAAAGTTTTTCAAAGAGTCTTTATTGAACGTTTTAACTTCATTTTAAGGCTCAAGTTTCAAGTTGAGTAAAGAGTATATAGTTTCAAGTTAAGACAAGAGCATAGAGTCAAGTTCT